ATATTATTTACTTTTTATTCCAATATTTTATGATCATATAATACGATACCGGTTAGCAAAATCTCATTGACGCTTAAAAACACGAGTAAGCACCGCGATAGAAACGACTTTCATACGATATCATCAACAAATAAGCTCATTTAGATAGTTAAAAAATAAAACAAATTATTGCATATTCCATTTTAAGTCCTTACACATCAATGTTAAATTACAATAAAAAATCCAAATTAATGATACAACAATACCAAATCTCGATATAATGGTAGACATAAAGAATATATAATTTTTTTTAAATTAGTTCATACCCATTAATAGAAAATACGATATTAATAGCAAAATATCAATCGAATTTTATTGCATGCATTTTACAATAAAGTTAACAAATTATGATCCTAAATAACTTTGATGAACGATAAAAAATACAATAGTAAATCGATTAAGTATAAATTACATGGTCACATGGAGATGTTCTTATTTAGCTTAACACACAATTATAAGAAAACGCGTCATTTAAAACAACAGAATTTTTAAGTCTATAGAAATCAACATATATATTACTATAACAATCTACCTCTATATGTTAATGCTTATAATTAAATGCTGTCTACAGTGGGCCTATGGCTGGTGATTGAGGGACTTAGACATGTTAAGCGTGGAATCAGCAGCGCTAGCTACTTTAAGCTGACAAGTTATTCCGCTCTGGAGGCTAACGATGTTAGGATGACGTGATATACACTTTCATGTTAAACATCAACCTTCTAAAGTTAGAACAGTATTTATAATATTACTTTCTACACTAACTTTCGGTGCATATAATAAATTATGTGTATGTACGGGCACTGTCCGTGGTCATAGACTGATAACAGTCAGTTTGTGACTACGGCTAGTGCAAACTGGTCAAACCTCAGGCGATTCGCACGTTATCTCTATCTTCGTACATTTTACAAATGGGCATTTGTAAAATGTACGAAGAACTTCATTTAATTGTATCAAGCTTTTTAAAGTACTTTCGGTTGCAAAAATGTTTGGAACTAATAAAACTGTTAGTGCCGATATAGGAATTATAAATAACTGAGTATTGCATACCGACATTTGATTAGTTACGGGACCGCGAGACTAACTTTAAATGTTAACTACATATATCATTAAGAGAATATAAAGTAGCTAGCCTGTCTGAGTTAACATATAGAAAATATTACGGCTAAAGACTTGCCATCAAAAAATGTCGTATCGCGTGGACGCCTTTACTTATTACAGTCACTTTAGTTACCGCTCAAGGCGGGCTTACCGAAAACATGAGCGAACATCACATCATCATCAATAGCCTATAACAGTCCATTGCTGGACATAGGCTTATCCTTAGAAAGGTTTCGGCCTACTATAAAACGCTGGCCAGACGGGTTGATATAGGGTTTGTTTCGAGTTTTCCTTCTCTTAGCAGTGCTGTTGTCCTGCTTAGTTTGCTCCCTTAGTCAGCTCTTACGACACCCACGGGATGAATAGGGGTGGTGACATTCCGTATTCTTAATCTGTCACCACACGGACTGACATGAGCGAGCACGACAGTAAATGTATAACAAGTAAATATAAAGGGATTTCAGTTTGAATGTAAATGATGTAGAAAAAGGCGCACATTGTATTAATACAGTCATGTATTGTAATTAAATTTAATCACGACGCGTACTAACGATTTCGTTGTCCAATTTAGGCATGTCAACTCAAATAGGACGCAAATATGTAACAAACTTATAACAGAAAGTTTTCTTTGGACAACTATATATATATTTATGTTTACTAACATTTCGTTGACGTATAGTAAATTATTTACGTAAATTTTAGCACCCAAACTAAAGACTAACTGTATGTCTGCGGGCGTGGGCTTTACATGTTTTACAAAAAAACAATGTGCGCCAGTAAAAAATATATTTGGAGTATTATGAAATCGCCTAATGACGTAACAATTCTTGAATTCGGAGGACTATAATTGTCTAACTTATATGGCCTCTGTTGAGAATGGTTTACAAGCTGTGTCTGTCTATAACAAGAATACATCTAGTATTAAGCGTACACATATCTAAATGTATGTATAAGGATACTTACATACACCTCTGTAGTCACTAAATAACAAACTAACGCGTATAGTAAGAAAAAAATTATCATCTACATTGATATTAAAAAAACATCAACTTGCAATCAGTTAAGTTAATAAAAATCTTATTTACAAGCTTCTTCAAAACAATAATAGTTCGACATCAAAAGATAATACAAAAAAAACAATTAAACCTTTTTTGCTAAGCAATTAAAACAATAAATAGATGGCGTAAATATGCCATGGAATTTAAGTGATTTGTTTTTTATTTCATGTTTCAGTATGGCCCTGTTTAGCTGGGTATACCTATCGTATATTTAGATACCTTAAGTAGCAAACCAGCGAACTCCACTTTTTGTTATAAAAAAACAAAGGTAAAAACCCCTGTTATTATAGTATAGAGATAGTAGTCTATGGAAAAATATATAAAGTTTTGAGTAGTTACTTTATTAAAAGAAATACCGGAATGGAGTTAGTAGAATTGCCAAGTAAGGTACCGATTTATCAAATGTGTCACAATTTAGAAGCTGCTTAATCAAATAATACTGAAAGCACCATTTTGTATTACCTAATTTTATCAACTCTTACGTAAATCCGTTACAATTTTGAATTTAGTTGCGGTGCCGAATGCATTCTAAGCGAAGATATGCGATAATTTATCTCTTAATACAATGATATAGACGGAATATTGAGCTGGTGACTCAAGCCAATAAATGCATTTAAAGAGTTTTAAATAACCTTTTAATACCATTAGACATTAATATCTATTACATATGCTAATCGTGAAGTTTGGCTTGTCTATGATAACATCGCTTTTCATTCGCATTAGTAGCCCTCACCGTATTGTAATACTTGACACTGATTCGTTCAAAATAGAAAAATATTGACACCATAAAAAATATTTTATTCAAAATTCATTTTAAAAATTTCATCATATATTACAAAAAGCTAGCTAATACTGAGATGATGAAATTTATAATTAAACTTTAATGCTTTAAATAATCTCTGCTCGTGTAGAACATTAAATAATGTACATTTATAAATTTTACTTTTATTCAATATCAAAGTAAATTTACTGAAAGGTCAAATGTTTGTCACCACCTAATCACAATTTAAAGGTTAGAGAGCGCTTCTAAAAAAATATTTTGATCCAAACAAAAGGTAATTCTCATTTTTTTCTTAGCGATTATTTTAATCAATCAGTTGGGGATGATGTTACATAGCTATCATACTTCGTTTATTAAATATTTTTACTCAATTTATCTTCCCATCAAACCTATATTTATATGTTAAAAAGTAAACGTATATTAGTGATATACAGTTTTTCGGAATTTTAATTTAGCGCAGGCCGAATTCTAGTTCTTTCTTTAATTTATCTATACAGATTTGATTGAAGATGTTTCACATACGGACCGGTGGACCACTGTACTTACATGAGTATGTAAAAAGCAAAATAGGTATAATATAACCACATATTTTAAATATTAATAAAAAGGCTACATGAGCAGAAACAATAGAAATAATATGTTTAGATGCCAAGTTGATTTTTCGTTAACGTACACCTGTGCTTAGCGTACAATTAAAAGTATTTTAATTAACATTAACGATTAAAGAAAACACTCATATGACACTGACACGATTGACTTCTTATTGTCACGAATAATTACTAAAACGGAAGTTTACTGTTCACCATAAAAACAAAGGTATATACACACTATAGTTTATATGGTACAATGAATTATATACGTGGAGATTGTGGAGTGACACAATACACGATCTCTCTAATATGCACAAACCTTACAGTGACCCGTATTACATCACTTCATAATTAAACACCATTTATTTCATTTTATTCATGCATCTAAAAATTAATATACTCATAATAAATAGTTAAGTTTATTCACTTATAAATTAGATATAAAATGTATTTTTGTATAAAATAATATACTTTTTTAAAATAAGCCACTAGCTAAAGTAACCCTCTGGGTAGATAAACTCATGTGAATATTACAACCACGAATGTAATACGAGCCACAGATGAGTGCGACCCAATTCACCTTAAGTGCTATTGTTCTGCCACGACCACGACCGAACTACATATAAATGTCTGTACATTAATCATATTAATTCTAAACCATGATTTAAGCGGCAACCATTACTTACCTTTCTTATAAAAATATTTACACATTTCACTAGTGTCCAATACTAATGCATACCCCAGTCGAATTTTAGAATCCGTTGATTATGTTCCAAGTCTATTAATTTATAGTTCATTCATATTTGTAGTCAATGTTGAGAGGGATATAATAAAACATAAGTTGTAGCATCGAAGACTGTTGCGTCAGACATAGGGTCAAAAAGCAACAATGTGTACTCTGACAGGTACCGACACAGGTAAAAATATCCTAACTTATCAGTATTTGATCCCAAGCACGATATAACGTTGTCGAATTGTTATGATAACTGTGTATATGTACTTGTTAAATTACGTTAGTTAGCCGGAAAATATCGATAGAATATTTAGTCGAAATGTATACGAACACTTGTAGCAAGCTCACCAATGGGAAACGTTAAATAAAAAAACATCACAAATCCATCATACAGACCACTTACGCACTAAGAAATACCTAAAATGTAAAATAGGTATAAATAATGTCCTTACTATCCAGAAGGCAAAATTGGCACTTAAGACGAAGTTCGCTCCTTTCTTGATGAGTGTCTCGAGGAAGGTCGCAATCGGGTTCGTCGGAGGTCCCGTCCGGATTCGGAGCGGCCCGGCGTCGAATTTGTCGGAATCGTCGGACCATGTATCGAGGCCGTCGTACCATGTACCGGTTCTGTTGGTCCATGTACGCGATACGTCCGACAACGGACCGGGCCCCACGACGGGTATGTCCCACACCCACTCCGGCTATGTGGTCGGTGAGTTCTGTGTAGGGTTATACGGATGGTTCGAGTTGCGTAACACTGTGTACACACTGTCAACCTTGCTTAATTTCTCAAAAAACGGTATCAAGTCCAAAAGTTCTGAATCTGTCATATCGTCGAACCATGACGCGACAGGCACCTGAAATAATAACAACACATTAGAAAAACGAAAATAGTTAAAAAAAATTGTTTTGATTCGTTTGCTTTCTTGCATGATTATCTTAAACAGTCATTAAAGAGTTGTTTGTAAGATTTTCAGAGCATTTCTTATCAGATTTTTGCTGTGACGTAAGCTCCATTGTTTGTTGAGTTGAAAAAAAACATCAACAATATTTAATGCTCTACATTAAGGAATTCTTTTTTGATTTAAAAATAACTCTGCCTTAAAAGCCACTTGTTTTTGTAGAACTATTATTATACATAGTGGATACTATCTGGCAAGATCACGTTACCAATAATGGAGTATCTTTCGAAATTAGAAGCCTCAAAATGTAGGAGTAATCGGTGTACATAGCTCTTTTCTAGCAAGTCTGTTAAAATCAATGTTACATAGTTTTATAAAATAAATATACTTGAGAATAAAAGCTTTTCCTAAATGCCACCTTTGATAATAGCAATAGATAGGCAGACAATGGACACAGCGCGACCATCAACCTGGCAATGTCTTGAATTGGTGATAAGATAGAGAGATCTTTCCGTTCGCAGATAATAAATATTGCCAAGTCTCTTAACTGAATTATTTTTGTTTTCGAAACTTAAAGAACAATATACATTAGACTTGCAACGAATAGTATATTCGGCAATATACCGAATACCGAATATTCGGCGAGGCCCCTGACCGAATAGCCGAATATTAGGCAAAAGTATTCGGCTGGATTTTAGCGCCAAAAACTTGTACAGACGTGAATTAAATTATGTAACTGTTTTATGTACCAATGACTTCTTAATAAATGATTATAAAAGAAATGAGAACCTTACCCTTCTAAATTTTGATAACCACAATAATTCAAATACATAGAATCCTCCATTTTTCCTATTCAGAAGATGATTATGTACCTGTGTTATGCACCAATGACTACTTAAATGATTATAACAGAAATGAAAATATGAATATATACGTAATCAATAGATTTTAATTTTTCATTTTACCAATTATTTCTCAATGACAAAATATATTATTTAAGTATTCGGTATTCGGCCGAATAATATGTAGATATTCGGTATTCGGCCGAATAATATGTAGATATTCGGTATTCGGCCGAATATAATAAAAGCAGCCGAATAGGCCGAATACCGAATAGTAACCGAATATTCGTTGCAAGTCTAATATACATGACTAATTGACTGTATCGTGTGCATTATATAAAAAATCAATGTTCAATTAGTAAGCACTTAAATGAAATAGTAAGTGCATCCTAAATCAGCTAGATGTGGCGGGATAGAAATCTTTTAGAACGAAATGGTAACAGTATGCCGAACAAGGTATTTATCGACAGTATTACTGTAACAGTATTCGTATTAGAAATGCACCACAAATATATAGAACAAAGTCATTCGTTTATTTCATAAACATTCAATTGAACGCTTGGCAACATTGGCCGAGAAGGTGACGAACGCAGCGTTTTACTTGTCCAAAGATACACATGTTATCTAAAGAGCTAGAGAACCTTCCTAAGACCATTTCAATATACCTAATCGACACTTGAACAATGTCATGAATTCATCATAGACAGTGAAATCAATAGGGAAACGCCTGTACTTAAATGTAAACTAAGTCTTGATTGGCCGCAGCGTTACAAGGAACAAACAGCAATGATATGTTATAAATGATATCTTGCAGAATCGAATTAAAGAATCCAGGTGTACTTACAGCGTTGTCCGGATGGAATATATAAGAGGCGGGTGAGTTGTCTACGATAACGACCCGGCGCAGATCGCGGCCGAGGCTATTCAGGTCTTTGACGTAGTTGCCGCGGTGGAAAACGCAACTGTCGCGGAACAACCGTGCGCGGAACACGCCCCATCTGAAAGATTTATTAACAGTTTAGATAATTAAAAAACACATAATATATGTCTGGCGAACGTTTGCGTCTGGCGTTCATTAATTCGTAGCTTCAATAATAATTTAAAATATTTTTCTATTATAATGTTATTGTTTACTTTATATTTACAAAAAAAATACCGTCCGTTTCATAATTATTGAATGTTAAAAGTATTACTATTTTAAAACTGCATCATTTATTTAATGAATGGGTATTAATTACTTCCTACTAATAATACAATATAATAATATGACGTAATGTATATTCATTGAGAGTTGAGCTTTACGATATTAATTTGTTTTTAAGCAACTTTACGTACGGGTTAATAACCCCTTCTTTCGCAAGGTTAGCTGCTTACAGTATATTGCCGCTACTAATTAGTAGCAGAAACTCTTTTCTTCAGAAACATAGTTATGAAAAGAGGGCAAAGCAGTTATTTAGTAATATTGGTTAACCGTATACTTTTTGGCTTGTCTTTTCTACTTGTAGAAAACTATGTATTGTTATATAAACTTAGCAAACAACTTATTTTGTTCTCATAGTTTAGAACATTATTTAAATTAGTACCAAAAGTGATCATAAATTTATATAGTTTTAGCAATCACTCTACAGGCATCGTATATATATAATGGTCCTTCGAGCCGATATTAAACCAACGACCTGTGAATGTTGAAAATAATTTGAAGTAATAATGATTTAATTATTTGTAATGTGAATATTGGTACTAAATAAAAAATATTTGATACATGAATAATGTAAATTGTGTCACTGTTTTTGAAGGACTTTAAGGTAAATTGTGATCAAAATTTTCTGTGTATGCATATCGTTTTCCGCGGTAATGATGATAAAATAGCCAGTGACATTATCTCCAAGTACCCATATTTTAGGCGTTGAACTCATCGCAGTCACATTCGGGATCGGATCGGTTCTGTACAAAACTTATTAGTCGTCTTATTAATGTCATTCTGTACTGAGCATCGTTGTGACATCCGTTGCGTACACTCACTCTATCTTGCAAAGTATTTTCAGAAAGTGTATAAATAAAAAAAAAGAATACCGAATCTCTCACCTGTCTAGTAGATCGGCGACAGGATCCGCGTACTTAGCCAGTGACGCGGTGAAAAGGACGCACTCGTACAACTCGCCGCATCTCCGAAGGAACTCGTCAACATGCGGCCGTTTTAATACGTACACTTGATGGACTGCGCCGTCTATTTCCACAGGGACTACGAAGTCTGCATTATTTATGGGCTGAAACAACATACATTTAATTTAAAACATGTTCAAATTAAGTAGTAATAGGACACACATTTTGGAGTTTCCTACTCAATTCCCTATGCAATTTAGGAATTTACATTGAATCTATATTCTAGTTATATTTTTTTCGATGAGGTTTCTCTTTAGATAAAGCGATGGAAACATCTTTATGAGGTACTGTGCTTCCAATCGTAGGTAACGAAGTGTTTTTGTTACGTGACTGTGGCATTGAATCCAAGTTTTTGTTATACCTGTGTCGCAGAACAAACCACAAACTTTTTTATGTCTCAATCGTTCAAGCTAACACATACTCGTATACAAGTCATATACGGGCTGTTTGATAGCATGAAGGCATGAAATAAAGCTTGAATACAACGTCTTCTAGCTTAAACGTAAAGCCATAAATATAGGTAAATTCGCAATTCATTTAGGTCGTTTTCTTAATAAGATATTTGCAAGTGTTTGAGACAAAGACATATTGTTAAACATCGTTCAACACACTTAAGCCGGGATTAGGTGTCCTAGACACAAGAAACTTGCACTTTTGATTGAAATGAAACGATTACCATAAATACCCGAATGCCACTACGTCTACAAGTAATATCTTATCACAAGAGAATGTTAACACAAAGAAGATATGCCCTTTAATAAAAATAATTATTTGATAAGGGAATGAAACATAATAATATGTGACGCTTCAACCACACCTGTGGTCAATCACTCCAGGAATTATACGAAGACCACACAGCGACTTTTACAATTTTGTATGACTCATCCGAAATCATAATTAACATTCAACTCAACTGAAATGTTGCAGAGCAGCGCAAATTGCTCATACCTACCTCCCATCTAATAAGTGGACACAAGCTCAAATGAAAGCGTATTTGAAAATGTAAAAGACGAAATTACTTTTTTTACCTTGAAAAAGGTAAAAGTTACATGATTTACCGCGGTCATTGACAAATTTGTGCATTCATTTAAAATAAAAGAACAAAAAAATATCTTCTTGTTATACATAATAACATATGTACCTATTTTACGTTACGTTAAAAACTATATGATTTTTATGTAACGTAAAATTTGTTTCTTTTTCAACCACTTGGTACGCCATATCCTTGCTTTTTTCAGAATTCACTTATAACAAATACAAAAACAATGGTTTGTCAGACATTTTTTTGTGTTCCGTAGTCAATAAAGCTTCCTTATGTTCGCCTTTCCATCTGTTTGAGGCTTATCTCAGGGCTCTTAATGTCGCGCAGTCTTTTTTTAGAAAAAGACATTGCTCGTGTTACATCTGTGGAATTCTACACTAAGGCCCGAAACATATTGGGCCATTTTTTTTCAACGAAATAGTACGAACAATACGAACATTACGAATAGACTCAGGAATGACTGAGGTCATTCGTATAAATTTCCAAATGGCTTCGATGCTTACGTTTTAACATTAGTTGTGAAGTTTCACTTATATGAAATAAATGAAGCTAGTTTAAGCTCGACCATATTCTTTGAATTTATTAATATATGCATGGACGTATAAAAAAACGTCCATGTATATATGTCATTATAATTGTAGCCAAAAAAGTAACCCTCTCACGACTGATTATGCTAAAATTTTAAATTCAAATTACAAGGACTTAAATGACTTAATTTACTTTTTTACATAAATAAATCAAAGAATTTCGCGTTACTGATGATAATAATGAAATATACCTCATCTACGAAACACTATCTGCTATTTGATAATGTTATCTGTTCTGATATCATATTCGGATAGGGTCGAAGGTTCATCTTCGTGGGTGATAATTGAGTATAATATTGATTAAAACTACGGTGTTCTATTACATCGGTCTGTGATCGCAGTTGCAGGTGTCGGGAGTTAAGCAGGTACCTACAGGCAGGTCTAGCTTTGAACTGCGCTAAAGGGGCTATCCACGGCCGCTATCAGATTGAACCATCTCATCACTATCTCAGTCAGAATAAAGAGATCTCTGTGTCAAATTTCATCCGGATCCGTTTAGCCGTTCTGGTGTAATTGAGTAAACAACTATCGAACTAAACTTTCTTAACACTAAGACGGAAATAAGTTTATAACAAATTCTACTGTGTTCAAATTAAGTAGGTCGTTTAAAAGTAGATATGCAATAAGAGTAACATTTCTCACAATAATGCAATTGCCAGCCGAAAACTGACACGTAACATAAGCAGCGTTATCTCAATATGGTAATCGAAAACGATTTCGTTGATCGTTTTGATGTCTCGAATTTCAAATGCAACCGAATTTGGTTAGCAGTTGCAAACAGTTATTTCGTTCTGTCGATTAAGAATGGTACTCTGTTTCACGGTATAGAGATATAGAGCAACATCGGATATAAGTACGGAAGATATGTAATTAAATATTATACTGTCTTGTTAAACAGTTTGATTAAACTTTGTATTATATTTAAATTTGTGAAACAATATTATACTTTGTACTTTCCTATTATTAAAGTCGTGTCTTGTGACTTGCTTTTTATCAAAACTAATAATTTACCTAGAGAAATATGTGTGGCATACATATTTTTAAATGAATTAGACTCTTCAATAACGCTGTGACTTCACACATCTCACACAGCTGCCTGATCCCAAACTAGGCAGAGCCTGTGCTGTGGTAACAAGGCTGCTGCTTACACCCGGACACAGAATAAACTATTGTGCTCATCACACAAATATTTGTTCTGGGTGGGAATCGAACCCACGACCTCCGGTTTAGCAGTCAGGGTCACTAACCACTAGACCAACAAGCCCGTCAAGGATATATTATATCATTATAAATGAGTTTCATCAAAGGTACATAGATTGTTATTAAGTCATCCATATAAGGAGGACAATTCTCGATAATCATTCATATAATAGCCAGTGCTATTGTTTTCAGACCACAGGTGATTTGAAATATGCATCCATACTTGACGACCGGATGGCGTAGTGGTTTGTGTAACGGACTGCTATTCCTAAGGTCGCGGGTTCGATTCCCGCTCAAGTCAAACATTTGTGTGCATGTACATTTAATGTTTGATTTGGTCTGGGTGTTTCTATGTATAATATGTATGTATTTACAAAAAAAAAGTATTTATGTATTTATCAGTTGTCTAGTACCCATAGTATAAGCTCTGCTTAGTTTGGGACTAGATAGTGTAGTGTGGATGTGGTAGAATTAAAAAAACTTACACAGTAAGGAATATTGAATCTAGAACATTCGATGCATAATATAAGAAGACAATATTAACGATTTTTACATCTTTAAAAAGATCGAAAGGCTAGTTTTTTTTAATTTCTTTAAAGATCTATTGTCTGTATGAAATGTAAATAAGACAGAGTGTATGAGACAGTAAATGAAAATTAAAAACATTACAGTTCAACAAAGCCTTAAAAACGGCCTTCATAGGAATACAATATCAACTCCATTATTATACCATAAATAAAAACATTGGTTTCGAATAGATAGTTAAAATTGGTATCAGCAACTCGAAGGGGGTTGCTAAAATACGGACTGAAACGCACGTCGGTGGGAGGTTCAAGATTTATTATCTACTTAACTAGGTCAAGGTCATTTAGGACCTCGTAGTTCGGACACACGGAGTAAACTAGGACATTTATTTAAACACACTACACGAATAGCGTAGTGGTTTAAGCGGTCGCCACGCAGCTTCCTGCTACGCTGAGTGTTGTTGATTCGATCTCCCATGTGGGGATCGAACACTTTGTGTGATCTACATTTTGTCGTTCTAAGTCTGGGTGTTCTTTGCGTCCGTTTCATGTATGTTTGTAAAGTCACGGGAGTTGTCTTTTAATTATTGTTTTTAATAAATATAAATAAAATAAAGATCAGGCAATAATTTGTGTTTATACACAAATTACACGACAATGGGATTTCCGAACAAATCACACAATTAGGTGATCGTTATTTAAAAAAAAAAGTGAAAATCATTCAGGCACGGAGACATACCTACTCTGTATGAACTGTAAGCTAGCAATATGCAGGTAATTCCATCTGTTCATATTACAAGCTCATACGAGTACTACTACTACATCTAAATACTTTTTTTTTTCAAATTTTCAACAATACTTCTTGCATTTGACTGCGGATTTTTTTTTTTAATTCCTGTAAACATGACCGTGATAAAGCGAGAACGGCTAGCGCATTAGGAGATAGGCAGATAATATTCTGATGCAAAAATAACAAAGGGTAAAATATTAACTAAGGATTAATTTGGCTGCCAGACAGTACTCTGTAAATACTGTGTACGATATTGCTAAATCACAATATAGATAAAATGACGATTTGGAAAAAGGAAAATAAATTTACTGAAACACATTAAAATGCAATGAATGTCACAACAAACATATAAAACTATTAAAAACATACCTGTGTACGTATTAATTGTTGATTTGCATAAATCTAAGACGTAGTAAGGTGTAGAGGTCGCCGCTATAATTTGCGTGACACGAGGCAACTTAACTATATTTACGTTTCTTAAAAAAGGTTTAGAAAGGAAAGGAAAAGCCATGGCAATATTAGCATACCGAGTTTTTTTTTATAAAACAATATATCGTGACCGACATTTTTGTATAGGAAACAGTCGTTATCTAAGAACTCATTTAAAGGGGTAAGTTATAAATAAACTATGTAACATGCCTTACAATAGTTAACACTATTTTTTACTTTTAAAATTCGTAATAAACACGAACTCATACCTAACATAGTAGCGCAGAATAATCGACATTATTCTCTTTAAACAAAAAAAAAGGGTAACGATGTGAATAATGTATAATAATACTTTGGCAACTTGTGACAAAACTTCCTTTAAAGGACTGAATGCTACTACTCGTATAAGACAGGAGGTAGCAAAGTATTTTGGCTACTTCGAAGATATGGTCATATGGATGCAGCTACAGAAGGAATAGACCTATTGCAGAGAAACAATGCATTTAACAAATCATTTCCTAATACAATAATA